TATATTGAGTTCCTTGATACACTTGGACTTGAGCTTTGTTCAAGGTGATAAATATGGATCTATTTTCACTTTTCTATATATAGACTGCCAGTGAGGCTAGCACCATTTATTGAAAATGCTTTCTTTTCTCCATTATATATTTTTTGCTTCTTTGTCAAAGACCAAGTGTTCGTAGATGTGTGAATTTATTACTTGGTCTTTAATTTTATTCCACTGATTGAATATATATATATACACACACACACACAGACACAGACACAGACACAGATATGTATACATATATTTATCACTATTCTGTAGTATAGCTTGAGGTCAGGGATGATGATTCTCCCAGAATTCTTTTATTGTTAAGAATTATTTTTGCTATCTTGCATTTTTTTTGCTTTTCCATATGAAATTGAGAATTTTTCTTTCCATGTCTGTGAAGAATTGTGTTGGAATTTTGATGGGAGTTGCTTTGAATCTGTAGATTGCTTTTGGTAGGTTGGCCATTTTTACTATGTTAATTTTATCAATCTATGAGTATGGGAAATCTTTCCGTCTTCTGAGGTCTTCTTAGATTTCTTTCTTGAGAGACTTGAAGTTCTTGCCATGTCGATCTTTCACTTGTTTGGTTAGAGTTACATCAAGATGTATTTGTGACTATTATGAAGGATGTTGTTTCCCTATTTTCTTTTTCAGTCTGTATATCATTTGTATAAAAGAAGGCTACTGATTTGTTTGAGTCAATTTTATATCCAGTCACTTTGGTGATGTTATTTCTCAGCTGTAGAAATTCTCTGGTAGAATTTTTAGGCCGCTTATATATACTATCCTATCATCTGCAAAGAGTGTTACCATGAGTTTTACTTTTCAAATTTGTATCCCTTGATCTTTTGTTGTCTTATTGCTCTAGCTAGAACTTCAAGTACTATATTGAACAGACACTGAGGGAGTGGGCAGCCTTGTTTTTTCCCTGATTCTTGTGGGATTGCTTCAAGTACCTGACCACTTAATTTAATATTGGTTTGCTATATATTGATTTTATTACATTTATGAGTTCGATTATTTCCTGCCATCCACTCGTATTTTGTTTGTTTGCTTCTTTTTGTTGTAGAGCTTTCATGTATGCTGTTAAGTTACTAGCGTACAATCTCTCCTATTTCTTTATGAAGGTACATAGTGCTATGAATTTTCCTCTTAGCACTGCTTTCATTGTGTTCCTTAAGTTTGAGTATGCTATGTCTTTGTTTTCATTGAATTCTAGAACCTCTTTAATTTCTTCCCTGACCAAGTTATCTTTGAGTAGAGAGTTGTTCAGTTTCCATGGGTATGTTGTTGGCTTTCTGTTGTTTTTGTTGTTATTGAAGTCTAGCCTTAGTCCGTGGTGATCTGATAGAATGCATGGGATTTTTTCAGTCTTCCTGTACCTGTTGAGGCTTGTTTTGTGACTGATTATATGGTCGGTTTTGGAGAACATACCATTAGGTGCTGAGAAGACATACTCTTGTTTTTGGGTTAAATGTTCTGTGGATATCTGTTAAATCCATTTGGTTTATAACTTCTATTAGTTTCACTGTGTCTCGGTTTAGTTTCTGTTTCCATGATCTGTCCATTGCTGAGAGTGGGGTGTTGAAGTCTCCCATTATTATTGTGTGAGGTTCAAAGTGCATTTTGAGCTTTAGTAAGGTTTCGTTTATAAATGTGGGTGCCTTTGCATTTGGGGCATACATGTTCAGAATTGAGAGTTTCTCTTGGTAGATTTTTCCTTTGATGAATATGAAGTGTCCTTCCCCATCTAGTTGGATAACTTTTGGTTGAAAGTCTTATTTTATTGGATATTAGAATGGCAACTCCCTCTTGTTTCTTGAAACCATTTGCTTGGAAAACTTTTTTCCAGTCTTTTACTCTGAGATAATATCTGCTTTGTCACTGAGATGTGTTTCTTGTATGCAGCAAGATGCTGGATCCTGCTTATGTATCTAGTCTGTTAGCTTATGTTTTTTTATTGTGGAATTGTGTCCATTGATTTTAAGGGGTATTAAAGACAGATGATTGTTAGTTACTATTATGTTTGTTATTGGAGGTGGTATTGTGTGTGTGTGTGATTCTCTCCTTTTGGGTTTGTTGTGAGATGATAAACTTCTTGTTTTTTTCTTTGGTATAGATACTCTCTTTGTGTTGGAGTTTTCCTTCTAGAATCCACTGTAAGGCTGGAGTAATATATATTGTTTAAATTTGGTTTTATCATGAAATATTTTTATTTCTTTATCTATGATTGAAAGTTTTGCAGGATATAGTTAGTATTCTGGGCTGACATTTGTGTCCCCAAGGGTCTGGATGACATCTGTCCAGGATCTTCTGGCATTTATAGTCTCTGTTGAGAAGTCTGGTGTAATACTGGTAGGTCTGCTTTTATGTTACTTGGCCTTTATCCCTTACAGTTTTTAATATTCTTTCTTTCTTCTGTGCATTTAGTGTTTCGATTATTATGTAACTAGAGGATTTTGTTTTCTGGTCTAGTCTATTTGGTGTTCTGTTGGCTTCTTGTCCATTTATGGCCATCTCTTTCTTCATGTTGGGGAAGTTTTCTTCTATGATTTAGTTGAAGATGTTTTCTGGTCCTTTGAGTCCTATTATTCTAGGTCTTCTATTCCTGTTATTCTTAGATTTGAGAATCCACCTAGTATTGAGATATGAACATTTTAGATTCCTAGGTATCCTGGATTTCCTGGTTGTTTCTGCTGCAATTATGGTCCATGTGTGGAAGGGTACATCCCAATTTAGAAGCTAAACTTCACAGCCTCATGCATATTGTGCTGATTCTGGAAACAAGAGGATGCAAAATGTATGGTCATGGATTTGCCCACTCTGCACTATTCCATCTATCTTTGTTTAGCAGAGTCCGATCCTCAGTGAGGATATTATGAGAGTTCATCGCATGATGCTGTGAAGATGAAGCCTGAGTTGTATTTTGAGATCACAAGATGTTGATATTCCTAAGCAATGAGGAATTTGCCATGGAGACGTGTATACAGGAAGTGGACGTACTGAAACTGAGAGATGTATGAGAGGTTGAAGAGATAGAGCCATCTAAGCCCTTTGAAACTGAAGCCCATGTGTCTGAGACAGAGCTACAGAATTTGGTGTTTGCCTTCTTGAGTTTCTTGTCTTTGTCCAACTTACATATTCCTGTCTATAGGTATGGCAAAGGGTATTCTGTGCCAATGTGTGCTGAAAAGATATAACTTGTTTTCTGATTGTACAAGATGTGGCAATCAAGAGATTACCTTGAGTGTCAAAAGAGTCTTTGGATGTTTTAACGATATAGTGGCTGTTGCAGACTATTAGGATTATTGAATTTAGACTAAATATATTTTTATGATAGGATGACCATGACCCTAGAGTCACAATGTACTTGACAGAACCAAAAAAAGCTTCTAAATAGGATGATGTCTTTGAACACTTGTCTCTTCTTTGTGGCTTTTATGAAAAGCATATGGAAGTTTTTGTAGGAGGGCCCTTTGTAGATAAGTTATTGGGTATGGTATTTGTGTGTCTATACACTCAACCTATTTCCTGTTTGTATCTAGTGTGTTGTGGTTGAAACTGAGCAGTCAGCTTCCTTTTACTGCTGTCATGTACTCACCATTATTGACTCTGTCCATAAGTCACATCGGATACAGTAGAAACAATTGTTATTCAATGTTAAGCCATTTTGCAAGCCTGGTATTTTTATATTTTTAACTTGGTTGTTTTTGGTTTTGATTTTGAAGACAATGTATCTCTGTGTAGTCCTGGCTGTCTTGAAGTAGGTATGTAGACCAGGCCAGCCTTGAATGTAGTGATCCATCTGACTCTGACTACAGAGTCCAGGGATTAGATGTGGGCCAAAATGTCTGACTTGTTTTGTTTTTTATATTATTAGCCGATGGCCTTGGGATGTAGGTTTTTGTACATGCAAGCATATGATGATGTTCATCCACATCTTGAATTTTGAAATTTAGCAGAGAGTATATTATTTTTCTCAGGACTCAGGACATTCAGACTACCTGGGCCTTCTGAGTCACTGGATTATTGGAGTGTGGAATTATTACTACCTGTTGTGTTTGTTTTTAATTTTTTGAATGAATTCAAAATATATGAATACACACGAATATGTATATCATGTATGCCTGATTCTCAAGAGCTCCTGAACTTGGTATAATGGATATTTTGAGCCTCCATGTAAATACTGGCAGTTAACCCTAATACAATTATTGGCATGACCAGCCACAGGCCTGGTGAGCCATCTCTCCTGCCTTATGTTGCTTTTTCTGATCATCATTTATATTGCTAATATTTTCATCTGTCCATTTGTAACTGTTTAAATATGCATTTGTTTTTAGTAATATCTTTATTAATCTTATAGTTTAAACTGTAGCACTTCCGGTTTCTAGAAGATCAATACAGAACTGGAATGAATGTACAATATTTGTAGGAACTTCAGGAAATACCGCTGAGTTCTTTCTTTTTTGTTTGACTGATTTTTGCAGGGGAGTTGGAGTACTAATACGTACCTCTTACTGTTCTGAAACTCACTTCATGCATGAGGCTGACATCCAACTCTATGATATACACCTAGGTCTGCCTCTTAACTGCTGGAGTTACAGGCATGAGTAAGCAGTGTACTTATCATTTTTTAGTTAGTAATTGTTTATACAATTTATCTGATATGTACTCAGTACTGTTGATCTGGTTGCTTATGTGTCTTTATGTCTGCTAATTGCCATTTCTCTTGCAAGGCTTCATCATATTCAAGGGGTACAGAAATGACAGAAGTGAACCTCATTCATTATTTACTTTCCTTCTAAGATGACTTTGGGTTACATTAGATCATTTGTGTCAGGAAGTAAGTAGAGTTTATTTCATTCTAGTGTAAGCACCAGAAGTAGATGAATATTTTGTCAATGAAGTATACATTTACAGTGTTTGTTGTCAGTGTCATACTTTCTCACATATACATGTATGGGATCTTTTAGGACGTAGTGAACTATGATGATGTGCATGTGGATTTCACTTGGGAAGAGTGGGCTTTGCTGGATCCTTCTCAGAAGAGCCTCTACAAAGATGTGATGCTGGAGACCTATAGGAATCTTGCTGCTATAGGTAATACAGTGAAATTCCTTTCACTTTTTAAAATCTGGGGGTGACTGTTTGTTATTGTTATCTTTTGTAATTTCAGTTGAGAATGAGGATGAGGTGCATAAATCAGTCATGGTTCTAAGGTTCTCTGAAAATAGTAACTTAAATCTTGCCTAGTTTCCAATAATATAACATATATTCTCTGGTACTATATTTCAGGCTACAATTGGAAAGACCATAATATTGAAGGACATTTTCAAAGTTCTAGAAGAAATGGAAGGTAATTTTCATGTGTAAGCTGATAAGAATATGCCTCGGAAGAAATTTTAGTATGTCCTGCAAGTTTTAAAGAAAAGCAACAGGGTTTTTTGTTTTTTTTTTTAAAGGCACTGCTTTAAGTTATAGATGATTATTAAATTTTCACAAAACCACGTACTTCAATGACAGGTATATAATTTGTGTTTACCAGGCATTCCTCTAAGTACAAAGACAAGGAAACAATGCCTTAACAGACCTCACCATTTGAATCACAGCCCAATAGAGCTATGCTGTAGGACTACCAGTGTGTTTAATCCCATACAACTTAGACATTGTAAGGTATATACATTGAGTAGGTGATAAGTATATGTTCAAAACCTTTTAATAATCAAATAGTTCATAGTAAAGCTAGTGTTATTGTTGTAATAATGTTACTAAGTTTAGTGAGGTGGGTAGTTTAGAAAGTCAAGAATGCTGTTGTAGAGAAACCTTAATCCCTATACCTTATCTGTATGAGGAAAAAAGGTCAAACTGTGTGATTTCAATGTGGAACCCTTTTACTTGTTATCCTTTTTAATAGAGATGTCATATATCACGATGGATACAAGCCATGTGAACATAGGGATATTGAAAGAAGCAACAAACCTCTTCCCCTTCCAGCACAATTAGAAGATATAAAGTTCTCCCCACTTTGAGTAGCCTTTCTAAATGTGCTGCAAGCTTACAAATAATTGGTTTTCTAACTTTACTGGTGACATCCACAAACTTGTACTGCAGAAAATTGCTCTGAGTACTAGGACTATGGAATTCTTCTGTTTGTCTTGGTTCACTTTGCAAATGTAGTATGACTCACACAATAAGAAAACTTATGACTGCAATTGGTGTAGTAGAGCTCTGAGTTCTTTCAGTTCTCTTCAAGTGTATGAAAAGCCTCTTATAGCAAAAAGATGCAATAAATATGAGCCATGTAACCCATGCTCTTCCCATCCCATGTATCTTCAAAGATTGCAAAACAACCCATAATGAAAGGGAACCCTGTGAATGTCACTAGAGTGATAATATATTACAACTGACTTTCTCTTTACAATTAGACCAAATTGTAAAAGTAATTTGTACACATAAAAATAATTCATCAGTGTATTGAATGTGGAAATGTTTTCACATATGCCAATTATCTTTGCAGGCATGAAAGAAGTTATACTGAAGAGAAACTTTCTGAATTTACTCAATATGATAAAGACTTTGCATATCAGAGTCATCCTCAAAGGCATGAAAGCATTCATTCTGGAGAGAAATCCTATGAAGGTATCCAATATTTTGAAGCCTTTGCACATCACAGTATTCTCCAAATACATAAAAGAACACATATTGTAGAAAAACCGTATGAGTGTAACCAATGTGGTAAAGCCTTTGCATATCACAGTTATCTTCAAAGGCATGAAAGAAGTCATACAGGAGAGAAACCTTACAAATGTAATCAGTGTGGTAAAGCCTTTGGACGCCACAGTCATCTTCAGAGGCATGAAAGAATTCATACAGGAGAAAAAAGCTATGAATGTAATCAATGTGGTAAAACATTTGAACATCACAGTCATCTTCAAATACATAAAAGAACACATATTGGAGAGAAACCCTTTGAATGTAACCAATGTGGTAAAGCCTTTGCACGAAACAGTCATCTCTTAATACATCAAAGAATACATACTGGAGAGAAACCCTATGAATGTAAGCAATGTGGTAAAGCCTTTGCATATCAAAGTGGTCTCCTATATCATAAAAGAAGATATACTGTAGAGAAACCCTATGAGTGTAACCAATGTGGTAAAGCCTTTGCATGTCACAATAGTCTCCAAGTACATAAAAGAACACATACTGGAGAGAAACCCTATAAATGTAATCAATGTGGAAAAGCCTTTGGACGCTACAGTTCTCTTCAAAGGCATGAAAGAATTCATACAGGAGAGAAACCTTATGAATGTAATCAGTGTGGTAAAGCATTTGGACGTCACAGTTCTCTTCAAAGGCATGAAAGAATTCATACAGGACAGAAACCTGATGAATGTAGTCAATGTTGTAAAGACTGTGGATTCTACAGTAGTCTCCGGATACATAAAAGACCACATACTGGAGAGAAATACTTTGAGTGTAATCAATGTGGTAAAGGCTTTTCACAAAACAGTAATCTCCAAATGCATAAAACAACATATACTGTAGAGAAACTCTATTAGTGTAACCAATGTAGTAAAGCCTTTGCATATCATGATCATCTTTGAATACATAAAAGAACACGTACTGCAGAGAAACCCTATGAATGTAATCAATGTAGTAAAGACTTTGCATGTCAGTAATCTTCAAAGGCATGAAAGAAACCATACTGCAGAGAAAGCCTGTGAGTGTATTTAATATGGTGAAGCCTTTGCACATTTCTGTAGTCTTCATCATCATGAAAGAAATACATACTGGAGAGAAACCCTATGAATGTATTTAATGTGCTGCAGCCTTTTCACATTTCATAAGTCTTCATTATCGTGAAATAATTCATACCAGAGAGAAACCTTATTAAGTATATTTCATATGGTGAAGCCTTTGCATATTTCAATAGTCTTCATTATTATGAAAGTATTCATACTGGAGAAAAATTCTGTGATTGTAAGCAATGTGGTAAAGCTTTTGAGGGTCCTCTGAGATCCAACAAAACTCAAACTCAGGTAATGCTAATGACCAGTACTTATAAGCTGCTACTGATATATCAGGGCCACAAAACACACTTGGATACTGAACTGTGACTGCTGCCCATCCATCTCCCCACCCAAAGCAAGAATGTTATAGAGCTTTTAAGTTTGAAAACCAGAAATATCTGTGCCAAGTTACAGCTCCATTGGTTTTCACCAATCAGGATTTAGGGATAAGGGCTTTCCTTATCTAGTTGATCTATGTCAATTATACAGTTTAACTAAGTATATATATATATATTTATTCTTTTGTGGTTAGGAACAGGCATTATGTTTTGAGGAACAAAAGATGCATAACAGAAGCCATGGTTAGGGACAGTCAATATGTTTTTATGAACAAAGATGAATAATGGAAGCTGATCTGCTATTGGGAAGTCCTCAGCTACCCCAGCACCAGGGAACTTGAACTTAGGTACACCATATGATTAAATGGAGGCTGATAACAAAAAAAATGCAGTACTTAGGACAAGTTTCCTCCTTTACTTGTTTCTAACAGTTGCATATCACAGGCATTTTTAAATACTTAAATGAATAACCACATTGGAGTGAAACTTCAAATTGTAATCAACATGATAAAGCTGTTTTACAACACAGTTGTGTACATAAAAAACCACATACTGGAGAGAAATCCTATGAATATGCAATGTGGTAAATCCTTTGCATGTAGCAGTAGTCTTTAAAAAAATCATGAGAAAAAGTCATACTGCAAAGGAAACCATAAATGTACTCAGGATGGTAACATTTTGCACTTGATGGTATCTTTATACAAGAGTAAACGTTTAGAGTATAATTCATCTTTAAAGCCTTTGCATACCGCAGTAGTCTTTGAGGACCTTAAAGAACTGATAGTGAAAAGAATCTAGGACTAAAGGATTTGGAAAGATCTGTAGCTAACACCCTTGCATTCAGTGTCAGGTACAACATGGTTGTGAATATGGCCGCATGACACAGTTACAGCTGTGGGAGTACCTTCAATCTGAGTCATGTACCTCTGGCATTCTCGTAGACAGATGGCGTTGCTCTTTCTTGCATGTTTGCCTGTTACTGCATTTTTCAAGCAGTCAATTCAGACATAATGCTTCAAGGGAGTCTTTGGAGGCTGACTGCCTTAATTGTTCTCTGGGACATTGTTGCCAACTCATGATGATTATGTTGTACCAGGAAATATTTGAAGCAGGAAATGTTTTTGAGAAACCTCAAGTTTTAATAGTTAAAAGAAATAAAGACCCCCCAAGGAAAAGGAACACTGGGCCTGGGTCACTAAGGACAGGAATGACAATAGAAAATACAATTAACAAGATAGAGGAAGATATAGCTGGGTCTACTGGATCAGTGAGCAATGGTGAGAGCCCTCATGAGAGGAGATGTCTAATAAGAGAAAGTTCGATTTAAAAATATTATTGGGGAAATTTGGAAAATCTATCTATCTATCTATCTATCTATCTATCTATCTATCTATCTATC